TCACTTTTAAGTGCAGAGAAATTGGAGGGTGGATTAGTGTTAAGCACATCTTTTTCTTTGGTTATGAATATTCTTGAGAGTGACTAGCAGTCACTCTGACTGCTAGTCTTGTCTGACTAGCAGAGGAAGAGGTACGTGTACAAAGGAAGTGGTAGCAGAAGGCGAGGTGGAATATGTAGATAGTATGATACAATGGATAGAGAGAGGAGGAGGGGTACGCACTGGGGAAGTGGTAGATATTGGAATGTCTGTATCTAGAATTTGACTGGTAGAGGGAGGTGGTAGAAGTGGGAATGTAAAGAGGAAGAGGAAGAGATACTGTGGGAGATGTAGAAACATCTTGGGAGAAGGGGGAGGGGCAGAGTGTAGGACAGCACTGGAGTAGGGAGCAAGAGAAAAATCTTGTTGGTGTGCTCCCTGCCTGGCCTCACTTAAAGTTGGGCCAATTTAGAATTTGAGAATTGCCACCAGTGGGCTGTGGAGCGATAGTGTGCTTGGCAGGGTGGCTTAAAGCGCCAACATTTCTGACATTGACGGGGGAGTAGTAAGTTTAGCTGGAGTAGGACAGGGCAGGGCTCTCCACCAATATAAACTTCATTGGGGAAGTCATGTCTAAAGAAGGTTATCGAGGAATATTGGTGTACGACTTTTAGTGGCCTTTGGGGGAATAGTGTAAGGGAGTACTGTACATCATAGTCAAAGGGGCAGGCAAATATGGTGTTTTTACAGTTTGGCCAATCTGTCATAGACAGGAAAATCAGCCTGGGAGAACGAAACAGTTCTAGTACATTGCTGAATGAAAGGGTATGGTTAGAGTAAGAGGCTTGTTGGGGGAATCACAAAAAAAATGACCACACTTGGCTGGCGTAAAAAAAAAGTAGTCAAAAGGTTTGTAGAGGTGGAAGTAGCAGAAAGACAAGGATCTGTGCAAGAGGGGGTGTCAATTGAAGTAGTACTGTGAGGAGGTGGATAATAAAGATGAAAAATAAAAAAAAGTGAAGGAAGTTTTCTGATAGGTAATATCATTGATGAGTGACTTGGAATGGACAAAACTGACAGCAAGTATCAAGGAGGAGGTAGTAGTAACAGTGTTCAGTTGTGATCAATGGAGAGCCAGGGGTATGGAACCAAAAATTAAGAGTCAGTGGGGACTATACCTTTATCAGAAATACATTGATGATTGATTTTACTTACTTGTTGAACATTTTCTGTGTAATCTAGAGTAAGCAATAGGTTGAGGCTTGGCAGGTAAGGAAAGGCAATACAACACTTATAAAGTATTATGGCAAAAAGGTTAAAAATGAGTTAATGATTAGGACATTAGGGGTTACATAGTTGAAATTGGTCAAATGCATGTCTTGCATTTTGTAGGTATGCATATTCATGTTTTTTCTGCATTTGTCTCTGATATCACTGTCAGGGACATGATTTACAATATCATTCCATATCATTATTATAATTTTTTGGGGGGGATTTGTTTCTTCTATATATTGCATTGATATTATAGAAACTTTGCAAAAGGTAATTCAACTTTAATTGCTGAAAAGTGTCAAAACATGACACACTTTTTTGCTTCCTATACAAGTGAAGAAAATTTGCAATTAATGTCAGGAAGTAATTTTCATTTTTGGTTACTTAAAATATTTCCATCTGTTTATAATTTGACCATGTGTCATACCATTTTCATCATATTCTGACTTCTAAATTGGTTCTTATGAAGGGTACTTTTTGCTATTTTCATACTATATTATTAAATTCCTACACCATTTAAACTTGAAACCTACTTGACCAAAGACTTCATGATACTGATTGTTGGTGGATTTCTATATACAATCAAAATATTTACACAAAATTACTCATACTCATACCCCTAGCTCTCACTGGGTGACAAAAAGCATCACACTATAACAAAACAGGAGTTGGTGTTATGATGACCAGGGAAATTGCAAAAGCATTCTGGAGCATATCAAAAAGAATTATTCTAGTTAATAATATAGCAGGGCCACCATTTAATATTAAAGTAATTCAGATATTTGCAATTATTGCAATGCATAGAGATCATGAAACACAAAGAAAAACTGGATGAAGTTAAATTAAAATGTAAGGTGCAGAAAATTAATATCATGGTAGGTGACATGAATGCAAAAGTAGGGGAATACAGCAATTCTGGACTAGGGACCAGAAAAGGAAGAGAAGAAAAATTCAAGGAATGGTGCAAAATTAACCAAACCATAAGGAATATAAGCTTCAAGCAACATCCAAGAATGTGGATGTTGAGAAGCCCCTGAGGTGAATAAATAAATCAAACCAATCATATGATTTACAAACTCAATAATGCAAGTGAAAACACTCTGGTGTGGATTGTGGGATAGCCTGTGACCATGCCTCTAGTTGTTGCACCAATTACAGTAAAACTGAAGAAAATTAAAAGTGCTATAAAGCTAACAAACTGGGAAGCACAGTAAGGAAAGCAAGATATAATGAAGGCAAAATTTTACGTGGAGGTATGTAACAGATATCAAATATAAAATGGTGGAAAAGAATGATGGAGAGGAAACAGTAAAAGAATGGGGATGGCTTCAAAATCATTAGATTGAAGTAAAGAAGGCTTAGTTCTGAAGGAAGAAAGACAAAGATAACAAATGTGGATGACAGTTGAAATCCTGTATCTAACAGACATGCAAAGAAAATAAAAAAGTATAAAGACTTGGACAACCAAACAAAAAGAAAGTGAAAAGAAGGAATGGAGGAATGAGTTAAATTAGAATGTGAAAAAAACTAGAGTGAATAAATACCCAGATAATAAATGAGAAAGTAAATGAAATCATAAATAAAAAAGGCCAGCAAGAGTGACACTGATACAAGAGGTTAGAAAAGAAGTAAAAATGATAGGCAAAAAAAGCATCTGAGGGAAAGGATGGAATATTCTTGATAAAGGCAACTGGAGATTTTGCTAGAAGTAATATCAAAGCCAACAAAAAATATGAAACATGATATATTCTAGAAATGATGAGAAATATGGTATTCCTTGTACTACCAAAGAAACCAGGTACAACAATGTTCTAGGCAATGTAAAATCTGCATAGCAAGCCAACTTTGAAAAATAATACTTAGAATAATTATGTCAAATATGAGGATAAATTCACAAAGATGCTTATGAAGTACAATATGGAATAAAAAAAAGGAAAAGGAACACATAATGCTATGCAAACTTCAGGAACTTTCATAGAACACAAATAGAAAAAACAGAAATGATTATTTATGCTTTGTGGATTTTGAAAAGGTCTTTGGGCAAAATAGCCGCAGCCCAGGTGATGCAAACTTGCTGTCATGAGCGAAGGCCAGGGTGATGGAAAAGACTTTCCATAAGTACATAACGCTCTTGGAGTGTGATTTGACTTATTTGTTGCTTAGAAGAGGGCTTTAGTATTATTCCCATCAATAAACGAATGTGGAATGTAACATGCGTAAGCTGTGACTGGAAGAATGCTGGCTCCAGGGAGGAAGCCATTTCCATGCTGTGCACTGTATTCCTGGCCGCTGTGACTGGTGGTGCTGGTTGTATTATGGAAAATTGAAATATATAAAAAAATGGGAAACGTGACACAAACTAACCAAATAACCTATACATTTTTTTTCTTGCACCAAGTTATTTACTACATAGAGAGATGATATCAAGTCTATGCAAGAAAAATAAGCTATTACCCTCTGGATAAATCAAATCAAAAGACAAATATGGACATTGGAAAATAGCAAAAAAGCTAAAAAAGTTTACACAAATAACTTTGCAAAGGGGAGGCACAGAGTTTTGTACCACTTGTGCCATGGGTGTTTGTGCAAGTTTGTGCCCACCTAGCCTACGAGCTGCACACCCGAGATGTTGGCTACATAAGTAACTCACTACCTGTATTTTTGGCACTGTGATTTTCGTGATGCAACCAGATCCAATGGGTTAGTGGGAAGAATATCAGGATCATATCATCTAGTCCCTACTAGGACTAGATGGCAGCATTGGGGGTTGAAAAAGAGTGTACTAACTGGATGGTAATGAAACATGGGGTAAGGCAGGTGTGTGTTGTCTCTAGATCTACTTACATTGTCTACACATAGCCAGATAATAATGGACAAAATTAGAGATATGGAAGGACAAGATTGGAGAACTAAATGAAAATAACAATCAGTGTAGATGACACAATACTTTGCAGTAAAATCAAATGATGCAGATAACACAATACTTCAACATTCCTAATAAAATCAAATGAAGCTTGTAAAAGTAAGGGACTCAAGTTGTATGCTGGAAAACAAGTTATTACAAAAATTAAGTGGACAATTCTTGAACATGAAATACCTGAGCTAGAAAAATGATTTCAAATAACTTTGGATCCATTATGATTGAAGATTTGAGATCTGATCAGGACAAAAACTGAATGGGAAAATTATCTGAAAAGCTCAACTAACAATAGCATGTAGTGTTTTGTGTCATCAACCCCAATGTATGACAGTGCAGCCTGGATCAAGAGTACAGTAATACAAAAAACAAAACAAAAAAGATGCAAAAAAGAAAGCAGGGAGAAAACAACCTGTTAGATATCTGGACAGCTTGTTGCAAGAAGTGGGAGGGAACATGAGAGCACAAGAGTTGATGAGAGTGGCAGAAAATAAGAAATATGGCATTCCATGGTCCCCTACATCAAAGATGAGGTAAGGTAAAGTAAATATATACTGCCTCACTGCCAATACTATTTAGCAGATTTATGTGACAGGGGTGGGTGAGTTACACCTACATTCCATGGCCTTATTATTATTTTTTAAAAGCTCTTAAGTATGATATGGAAGTTTCTATCCCATACCCATTCAAAAAGAAATCAAGTCTATTTTAAATTAACATTTCAGAAGTCAGAGTCCTTGAAGTCGTGACAGTAACTAAACGGGCACTAATTTATACTTTCAAAACATAATATATCCTTAACTTCTATAAAAGGTCAGTGAAAGGTCTACAATAAAGAAATTAAACAAATATATTCCTATGAACTTTACAAATGTATCAAGACATTAACAAATAACTGCCTGATAAAGAGAACCTACAAGCATTTGCTACATTTATCACTTAACTTCAGGGTACACTACAGGACCACCATTTTCAAGCCAATCCTCATATGAACCTACATAAACCCTGAAACAGAAAACAAAAAAACATTAAAACAAAGAGTGACAATATAAGATCTGTTACTCTGGGAAAAAAAGAGTATATTATTATATATCTCAGTTTATATCATCATTGTAACCATTACAAAACAATTTTTAAGCCAAGATAAAACACCTCTATTTCACATGGTCATCTAAGTTGCAAGTGCTATATAACTATTATTAATGTTCATAATCTTATGATAATAATAATAATTATGATAATAGCATTAATTTAAATAAAATCTCAAGAAATGGTCTAAACATGCAAAATCTGCTTGGCCTTGTAAGACTACTTAGTGACTAAGTGGTTGGGAATCCACTGCAGACAGTGCATGTACTCTTTATCAATGGGTTAAAGACCATCTTTCTTATCTTTCCAAGCATACATCCTTACCGAACATTTTTATAGCCGGCTCCTATCATAGCCAGCTGAGCCGTCCTTGCACGAATACCACCCAGACACATTACAACGATAGGTTCATCAATGTCAGGCTTCTCAAACCCAAATTTATCAGTAAAGTCTTCTTCTGGGAGCAGGATACTTACTCCTAATGTTTGTACTGGAATATGTAAGTAAAAGGGGTGACTTTCGCATCAATAATTGTGAAAATAGATAAATAAATTTATATCTAATTCTAGCTTTTTATTAACCCCTTGCTGCTGGATGGCATGCACGTACATGCCATGGCTGTTGTGGACAGAGTAGCAGAAGTCATCGTATCATGACCTTTCCTGTGCCATTGGCTCATCAGAGGGAGCTTGTTTTTCTCCAATATTAGCAGCTTCATTTATATGGCAATGCTTTTAGGTAATAGCACCTAAGGTGAAGGTAAACCTTCAAATTTTTAATATATAAAAAAATTATAGCAAAATAAAAGCTTTTAGGTGCCAAATGTCGCTCGCAAACTACTGGATGAGCCAGGTGCATACAGGAAACTGTCGATGTGCACCAACAATCTGGCCATCATGTCCACTTGCCAATCTTTTTTACTGGGGTGATTGGGTTAAGAAAGAAAAGAGAGGTTTTTCAAAGGAAAAAAGTGATAACTTAGCAAAACATATTCTTTTAGTTACATCTGAAAAACAGGTCTACAAAAGATCTCGGACATGCTATGTTGTAGAATTGAATGAAGGGGTTAACTTTACAGCATTCACAGTTCTTAAATTTCTCTCTTCTTTTCTTTTTCTTTTTCACTCTAGGTTATCCTCTCATATTTTTCATTTCCATGAATAATAAGTATGCTATATTTAGTACTTACAAAGTATGTTCTTTGATTTCGGAATCATTCCACTTTCGTACAGTTCCTTTGGGAGCCGAACATCAATCAGCGTTACACCATCATTATCTAACTCTTTTTTCAGTTCGGCAAAGTCAATATCTGTAGAGCAAAAAGTAGGATATAAATGTGGATTGTAAAGATGACCTAAACGTAATGATGCAACATAAATCTGATAAATAATGAAAGTGACAAAAAGGAGTTGGAATAAAACAATTAGTTTACTTGTCAATGTTACAGGACCTTCTTGGTTTTCCTAAATGTTATCATTCACTGCCGCCCTAAAAATTTCATCACAACCATACATACTTGGTTGTAACACTGAGTTGCTAACAAGTACTCAACATCATAGCCCTTGAATACTGTTGGTAACTCTGACATCTCTACATATTTCATGGAAAGTTCTAAACCAGGCATTAAGCAATAAGTATTCTTAAGATGAAGAAAAAGAGGGAAAAGAAAATGAAGAAGAAGAGGAAGAAGACAATGAAACAAAGAGCAAGAAGAAAATACACTGTTTTTGTCCCAGTGATTCAAAGCTGTTTTACAAAGTCAATATCATAATCCCTTATGACATATCTGCACAAATATCAACTCTGATTTTCATGGCTGGCATTCAACGCCCATTTATTTATTTAAAAATCTTTGATGCAGTCAAGAATTAACCTAATATGAACACATAACTTGGAGTAAATTTCCTCTTACATAACAAATCATTATTCATTGCAATCTAACTCCTACCTGAAAAAATATCTGGATAGCATTTCTCAGATTTTATTACAAAGATACCAGTATCAAAATTTCTTACCCTTTGGAAGAGGAGGTAATGATGAAAACCTATAAGAAGACTGCAAACTGATTTTATTCATACATCTCACTTGTCCATGAATCATAAGGGGTATGCGTGCAAGCCGATTCATTTCTGAAAGAATAAAATCCTATATATCAGCCTCAGAGTTATATTTGGTTCATGGATAGGAGTCCATAAACCGAACATTGGGCCTACTAATAACATAAAGGTAAAATCCCTAGGTTAAATATGTAAGCAGCAGATAACAAGTTTGAAAACTATGTGCTTTTACACACTCTATAAGGAATACTGGATAAAGTAAGAAGCAATAACAGACTAAATTAGGTTTCCATATTGGGCAAGGTACTTTTCCCATAAAGCTTTTCTTGCCTCATATGGGAAAAAAATTATCTTATTCCGATTTTCCTTGACAGGAAAAATAGATAAATAATATGGGTGGAGGAAACTGAATTTCCTTCCATTTCTCAATGACAGCAACCTAAATCTATGTAGATCCTCCTACCCTTTAAAGTACAGTAATTCTTCACCTGTTCCATGATCTGATACTGTTCAAAACAAAATAAACTTATTACTTGGGTGACAAAGAATACAAATGAAAATGAGTTAAAATCTAAATACAAATTTTGTTTCACTCAGGAATCTTCCAGAACTAATAGATATTGCAAATAAATCTTTACTATTTACATTCGGGGCGGATTTAGCCGAGACTGCTCTTTATTTGAAGACTGGTAAATTTTTAGAATAGAGTCATGCACATACACAAAAAGTAAGGTATTGACCACAAAGAACACATAAAGCAACACTATTGATTATGAAAAAATATTCTGAAAACTGAAGGCAATGCCTTGTTACTGTTAAATAAATGAGGTTCTCTTTTGCCAAATGTGTGAATGATGATGGCCTTTGCAGGAGCACGAAAGATGGGAGCCACAGCCATGCTTATGCTGTCCTATTATGAACAATTACCAGAAAATGTAAATGACAAGGCGAAATGAACACACAATATCATACTGCTTTTCATACAATAAATAAAGTCTGGCACTCGAGGTTACCACTCAAACTGCCTCTTCTATCAAGGCACAACCATTTATCTTACTATTAAAATGACAATATCTAATGACTATCCATGCTATTGAACTGTAAATCAATTAATAATCAACACACAAGCAATCCTTCATTATGAAAATACCTCCATCATTGATAACCTTAGGCTACAAGGTTAATTCAACATTTCATACCCTGTTTAGCTTAATACTGCCCTAATATCAACTTTTCTCTGGCCAGCAAACATTAACGTAACCTACAAACATACAACAGAGTCATTTTAACTCATAAAAGTCCTTAAATCACCTCAAGGTTGACCAACTGCGCCACCGGAGACTTTGAACTAGGAGAACATGTAAAGTATTGGTCCTCAAGTTAGTAAATCAGCAAATAATTAACATTATTTCTAAGTGAATCTCGGTTGTGTGCTATTTATCTATCGGTGAGGAGTTTTATTGGTCTCCTGAATGTTCCTTTGGGTTGAGTATATTCATTCAGTGATTGGATATTGTATTCCATATATATGTATATAGGTCTATAATTATCAATTTGTCTGTCTGTCTATCTGCCTGCCGTACGTCATATTGTTTATGTTTATCTATCCGATTATCTGCATGATACTCATATATATTGAAAAAAGGAAAATCAGTAATATATATAGGTATTACGTAATAATAATCATGAATAAGTCACCCATATCATTATTTTCTTTAGTGTTAGTTATTTTACATAGAAAACGATAATATAGATGGGATACTACTGGTTATTAATGATTAATATTTACGTTTACCTTCGTTAAGAAATACGCACACACAGGTATTACGGGCAGCATGTATGTGTGTGTGTGTGTGTGTGTGTGTGTGTGTGTGTGTGTGTGTGTGTGTGTGTGGTGTGTGTGTGTGTGGTGTGTGTGTGTGTGTGTGTGTGTGTGTGTGTGTGTGTGTGTGTGTGTGTGTGTGTGTGTGTGGTGTGTGCGTGTGTGTATGTGTGCGTATGTGTATGTGTGTGTGTGTGTGTGTGTGTGTGTGTGTGTGTGTGTGTGTGTGTGTGTGTGTGTGTGTGTGTGTGTGTGTGTGTGGTGTGTGTGTGTGTGTGTGTGTGTGTGTGTGTGTGTGTGTGTGTGTGTGTGTGTGTGTGTGTGTGTGGTGTGTGTGTGTGTGTGTGTGTGTGTGTGTGTGTGTGTGTGTGTGTGTGTGTGTGTGGTGTGTGTATGTGTGTGTGTGTGTATGTGTGTGTGTGTGTGTGTGTGTGTGTGTGTGTTGTGTGTGTGTGTGTGTGTGTGTGTGTGTGTGTGTGTGTGTGTGTGTGTGTGTGTGTGTGTGTGTGTGTGTGTGTGTGTGTGTGTGTGTGTGTGTGTGTGTGTGTGTGTGTGTGTGTGTGTGTGTGTGTGTGTGTGTGTGATATATGCATATTATAATATATATATATATATATATATATATATATATATATATATATATATATATATATATATATATATATATATATATATATATATATATATATATATATATATATATATATATATATATATATATATATATACCACACACACACACACACATATATATATATATATATTATATATATATACATATATTATACACACACGTATATACACGTAAAGAACATCGAAAATATCACCCTCAAAAAGAACGAAATAAAAGATTTACTAAAAGGA